AGACAGAGAGAGAGAAACATTGATGTGAAAGAGACACATTGATTTGTTGTCTTCTGTGCACGCCCTGACCAGGGCCAGGGATCAAGCCTGCAACCGAGGTACATGCCCTTGACCAGAATCAAACCCGGGACCCTTCAATCCAAGGACTGATGTTCTATCCATTGAGCCAAATCAGCTAGGGCTTCTGTCTGAGATTTTAGAATTGAAAATATATGCTCTATTTCTCTGTATGTGTAGGTATCTGTAAATCAGAAATGTCTTTACTTGTACAAATTAAAAAGGATTAGATAAACATGAACTATTTTTACAGTAATATTCAAATATTTCAAAATAATTTTTCTATTTAGCATTATTTGGTTAGAACAGACTGATTCTCTGTGAGTCATTTTTAAAATTTTGGTATAACCCTAAGGAAAATAGTAACTGCTGGTTCTTAGAGAAAAAATTTAATGTAAGGAAATGGTTGAGTAAGTGTTAGAATATTTAAAAAAAGCAAAAAGGGAAGAGGTTGGAGTTATCAGAACCTCAAATTTCAGAGAAGGGGCTTCAGAGAGCTGATGCCAGTACTTCTGAGGGGAGCAATGAAGCTGGTTGTGTCTATAGATGTCAGAAAGTAATGCTGGAGACTAGAACCAACTGCTAGGGCAGTGATGGTGCAAATAGCAAGCAAAGGAAGAAATAGTCCCTTCCAGCCTCTTCAGGTACCTACTGCTGGTGGTGGAACCTGACAGGAAGCCAACTAAGGAAAGAAAAATGTAGTTTGCAGAGTTCCAGTCCCGATTCACAAAGGGAATCGGGACTGGAGTTCAAAGAGATAGTTTAAAAAGTGACACATTTAACACTTCGAATGAAACAGATATTCAAAGAACTGGTCCCAGGTTCCGTTAATTAAATTTTTATTTTATTTTCATGGCAATCATAGCAAGAAAGAATACCTGAGAGGCATGATGTAGAGCAGGGTGAGCAAATTTCCTATAAGGATCAGATTTTAAATATTTGAGGCTTGCAGGCCATAAGATCTGTCTCTAATACTTGGCTTTGCCTTTGTAGCACAAAAGCAACCTTAGACAATATGTAACAAATCCTATATAATAAAAGCCTAATATGCTAAGTGTCCGGTCATCCAGTTGTCCATTCAACCAATTAAAGTGTAATATGCTAAGGATATGCTAAGGCTGCTCAACTGCTCACTATGATATGCAGTGACCACCAGGGGGTAGACGCTCAATGCAGGAGCTGCCCCCTGGTGGTCAGTGCACTCCCACAGGGGGAGCGCTGCTCAGCCAGAAGCCAGGCTCACAGCTGTCGAGCGCAGCAGCGGTGGCGGGAGCCTCTCCCGCCTCCACTGCAGTGCTAAAGATGTCCGACTGACGGCTTAGGCCCGCTCCCCGCGGGGTTTAGGCCCAGCAGTTGGACATCCCTCTCACAATCCGGGACTGCTGGCTTCTAACTGCTCACCTGCCTGCCTTCCTGATTGCCCCCAACCACTTCTGCCTGCCAGCCTAACCCCTAACCGCTTCTCTGCTGGCCTGATTGATGCCTTACTGTTTCCCTGCCGGCCCGATCACCCCCAACTTCCCTCCCCTCCCAGCCTGGTCGCCCCCAACTGCCCTCCCCTGTTGGCCCAATCGCCCCCAACTGCCCTCCCCTGTAGGCCTGCTCGCCCACAACTGCCCTCCCCTGCTAGCCTGATCGCCCACAACTGCTGTCCCCTGCCGGCCATCTTGTAGCAGCATCTTGTGATGACGTGTGGGCGGCCATCTTGTGGTGACGTCGCGCCAGGGCATGACACCACCTAGGCTTTTATTATATAGGATATTTTACCACACACAAAAAAATGATGTAACTTTACTTGCATCTATAACTTCTTGTTATAGAGCATCACTCTTTGCTCAGATATCTCAAATACTGGCATGAAACCTCATAAGGTGTCAGTTAACCATCCATACATTAAATTCATAAAGATTGATTTCTTGTTGGTTTTAGTAAAAAGAATGTAAATAGAATATTTAGTACAGTCTCTCTACTCCCAGTAGACCATCCTGTGCACACCTGGGTATGCACACACCCACTGTATTAGAGACCTGTTTCCTAATAGAATGGTTTTACTTAATATTGAGGCAGTACATTAATAATTTTGCAAACCGGACTTTTTCTCTAGTTCTTTCCTTGCCAACATACATTGCTGATGGAGTTATCCTGACTTTGTGTTTTCATGCCTACTCTCCCGTTCCTAATCCAGCTCTGCTTTTCATCCATATTTCTTGAACACTTTATATAAGCTTCTATTATAACACTCATCACATCATATTTTATTTATTTGCTTATATATCTCTCCTCCTCCCTTTTTGAGTAGCATGTCTTGGTTATATACTATATTCCCAGCACCTAGCTGTGGCACACAACATGCTCTGACTAAATTATTGGAATCAGAACTTACCCAGCCATTGACAACCTTCTTAGTAGTTCATAATTAATCTGAGCTATTTTTGGTGGTTCAGCCAGCTCTTCCTTCCAAGTGTAATTTTGGTCAGCTTTAGTTTTTTTCCAGAGGTCTAAATCTCATTTTTACTGCCAGCCACAGCCCTTTTTCATACCAGTATTTGGCAGTTAGGAAGATTAGAACACCAGTTACATTTGCATAGTCGATAGCTTTCAGAATAATTATTGTAAGTAATCTTGCTGGTGCTGGTTAATTCATTAAATACCCACTGACTCTGTGCTATGTGCTAGAAATCCTGCTGGGGATACAGAGTGAGCATTTTACATACAAGGGAACTGAGAAGTTGGATGACAGGTATAAGATTCTATATCGAGTGAACTGACAGAACTGTGACTAGATCCTAGGTCTCCTGACTCATGGCCCATTGGGTGGAAGGGAGTTGCTCTGAGAAGAGTTAGAGCAGATAGTTGGGATGGTACTTGTAAGAGGGTTTGTTTATGATCATCCTAACCTCTACTTGTGTATTTTCAGTAATTGAGGAGCCTAGTGTCTTCAAGGAAGTACCTTACATTTATTTAGACCATGTTGGAGGTTCAGTTTGGCATACCGGGCACCTGGTCCAACCTTTCAGGTAGTCAGATGAGGATCAGAGTACAAACTCAATTCAGGATTCTCTTGGAATGAATGGTTTGGAGAATTCTGTGGGGTCTTATGCCTTTGCTGCCAGGAGAGTAATTGACTGATGTGTGTCAGCCAAATGGAGTCTTAGAGACAAAGGGTGCCTGGCTGCCCTGTTGCTGATGTGTATCTTGGTGTGGCCTCTGCAGGATCAGGTCGATATGGTCCTTGTCATTATTTGATGTTTCAGAAATTGTTTACTCAGAAGTGATAATTTTTGAGAAAAGAGATCACATCAATCCAAAGATCTAAGGACAGGTTTATAAGTCAAAATACCGACTTAGCCCGGCCAGTGTGGCTCATTGGTTGAGAATTAACCTATGAACCAGGAGGTCACAGGTTCGATTCCCCGTCAGAGTACGTGCCCGGGTTGCAGGCCCGATCCCCAGGGAGAGGCATGCAGGAAGTAGCTGATTGATGATTCTCTCTTATCGTTGATGTTTCTATCTCTCCCTCTCCCTTCCTCTTTGAAATCAATAAAAATATATTTTAAAATAATGATGTATAGTGGGAGATGTATATCTGGCTCAGAATCTGGAATTTGTCTAACCCAGGGATTCTAACCCACTGGGCTCTAGCCTGGTGCCAAATTAAAAATCAGAAGGTTGCTTGCTTGCTAAGAAAGAATTAAGAGCTGGTTGAATAGTATCTTCCTATGAGTGTCTGTCACATTGAAGTATTCTTTCTTAATTGCTTAACATTCAGAATCAAACCACCCAGACTTGTAGGAGGAGACTACTGTATTTTTGCCCTTTCACTTTTTGATATTCAGTCATCAAAAAAGCCTCTCTTAGCCCCGGCCTGTGTGGTTCAGTTGGTTGGAGCATTGTCCCATACACGGAAAGGTGGCAGTTTTGATTTCTGATCAGGGCACATACCTATGTTTTGGGTTTAATCCCTAGTCAGGGTACAGGATATGTTAAGGAGGCAACTGACCAAGTTTCTCTCACATCGATGTTTTTTACTCTCTCTCTCAAATGAATTTTTAAAAAATTAAGCCCTGGCCATTGTTGCTCAGTAGTTGGAGTGTCATCCTGCGTATTGAAGGGTGGTGGGTTTGATTCCCTGTCAAGGGCACATACCTGGATTGCAAGTTCAATCCCCTGCCTGGTTGGGGCGCCTGCAGAAGGCAACCAATCAGTGTGTCTTTCTCACATCAATGTTTGTGTGTGTGTGTGTGTGTGTGTGTGTGTGTGTGTGTGTGTGTGTGTCTCCCCTCCCCCGCCCCCCCTCCGCCACCATCCCTCCCTCCATTCCACTCGCTAAAAATCAATGGGGCGGGGGAATATCCTCAGGTAAGGATTGCAACAGCAACACAATTTTTTTTAAAAGCCTGTCATTACCAGTTTCCTTCGGGAGAGAGAACTGGTTTAAACTTCCAGGAGTACCACTTATTTTCTTGTTATTATTATTATTTAATCCTCTCCCAAAGATACGTTTTTCATTGATTCTAGAAGGAGGGAGGGAGGGGGGGAGGGAGGGAGGGAGGGAGAGAGAGAGAGAGAGAGAGAGAGAGAGAGAGAGAGAGAGAGAGAAACATTGATTGGCGGCTGCCTTTCGTTCACACCCCGACCAGGGATTGAACCCGTAACCTGGGCATGTGTCCTGACCAGGAATTTGGTATTATGCTGTAGTCAACTGAGCCACACCAGCCAGGGCAGTACTGCTTATTTTATATTCACTATTACTTGGGTAATATATAAAATCTATTATTTCATGAAATTTGTGGTAGTTTGTGCTACTTAATATGATTGAAGAATAGCTTACCATCTTCACTTTGATTCCTGTAACGCTCTCCACAAAGGACTGATGCATTTTCTACTTCCACTGAGCACTTTTCTGTGGGCACACTGAATTTAGTTCCTATTTTTTTCTCCAGGGTCATCTAGTAGCAGGCACCCAAATCAGGCAACTCCAAAGAAAAGTGGTTTAAAGAATGGCCAAATGAAGAATAAAGATGACGAGTGCTTTGGGGATGATATTGAAGAGATCCCAGACACAGATTTTGATTTTGAAGGGAACCTAGCCCTATTTGACAAGGCAGCTGTGTTTGAGGAGATTGATACATATGAGAGGAGAAGTGGTACCCGTTCCAGGGGTATCCCAAATGAAAGGCCTACTCGGTACCGCCATGATGAGAACATCCTGGAGTCAGAGCCCATAGTCTACCGACGGATCACAGTGCCCCACAATGTGAGCAAGGAGTTCTGCACAGGTGAGTTTTGCACGAGATCCCACATCCTCCTGGCTGCTCTCCCCTTCCTGTTATGCTTGGAACAGAATGACCCAGATTCTGACTTAGAGTCTTATAGTAGGAATTAATTAAAGTGGCTTGGTGGTTGGCGATTATTATTGTCTCTTGGGGGTTATGGCCAATACAACATAATTACCTATCATTGTGAGGGAGTTGATTTCTCTACATGTCCATTTATATCCTGCATCTGGCAGAATCTGTTCTGCAGTTTATTTAGTACTAAAGGCTGGTGCACGAAATTCATGCATGGGTAGGGTCCCTAGGCCTGGCTGGCAATCAGGGCTGATCTGTGGGGTGACTGGTGGGGCGATTGGGGCCCCCTTGCACCCACCTGGGCTGGCCTAGTGCCGCTGGTCTCCTCCCTCTGCAGAGTGACGGGTGGGGTGATGGGGGGGGGGGGGGAAGGCACTGGCACCTGCCTTGGCTGGTGGCCTGATGCCGCCTGCTCACTGGCCCCACCCCCCACTGCCACTGCTGGTCAGAGCCTGCGGGCTGGGGGCAGCTCCTGTGTTGAGCATCTGCCCCCTGTTGGTCAGTGCACATCATAGCGACTGGTCGTTCCACCATTCAGTTGATTTGCATATTAGGGTTTTATTATATACGACTAGAGGCCCAGTGCACAAAAATTTGTGCACTCAGGGGGGTGGGGAGGGCCCCTCAGCCTGGCCTGTGCCCTCGCGCAGTCTGGAACCCCTCGGGAGATAATGCATTGCTGGCTTAGGCCTGCTCCCGGGTGGCAGAGGGCAGGCCCAATCCCTAGGTGCAGCCCCTGGTCAGGCTCAGAGCAGGGCTGATTGGGGAGTTGGGGCGCTGCCCCCTGTCATGCACAGAGCAGGGCGCTGCCCTCTGTCATGCACAGAGCAGGGCAGATCGGGAGGTTGCAATGCCACCCTCAGTCACTCTCAGGGTAGGGCCGATTGGGGGGTTGGGGCACCGTCCCCTGTCACACTCAAGGCAGGGTCGATGGGGAGGTTGCGGCACCACCCCCTGTCACGCACAGAGCAGGGCCAATCAGGGGGGTTGGGGCTCCGTACCCTGTCACGCACAGAGCAGGGCCGATCAGGGGGTTGGAGAGCTCCCCCTGGTCACTCACAGAGTAAGGCCGATAGGGGAGTTGGGGCGCCGCCACTGTCACACTCAGGGCAGGGCGGATCAGGGGGTTGGGGCGCCGCACCCTGTCACACTCAGGGCAGGGCCGATGGAGAGGCTATGGCTCTACCCCATCACACACACAGCAGGGCCCGTGGGGGGCGGTCGGGGCGCCACCCTCTATCACCCACAGAGCAGGGCCGATCAGAGGGTTGGGGTGCTGCCACTGTCACACTCAGGGCAGGGCCAATGGGGAGGTTATGGCTCTACCCTGTCACACACAGAGCAGGGCCTGTGGGGGCGGGTGGGACCGCACCCTATCACACACAGAGCCGCAGGGCGATCATGGGGTTGGGGAGCTCCCCCCTATGAGGCACAGAGCAGGGCTGATCAGGGGGTTGGGGCGCCTTCCCCTGTCACGAACAGAGCAGGGCGGATAGGGAGGTTGTGGCCCTGCCCCCTGTCACACATAGAGCCGCAGGCCGATCAGGGGGTTTGGGCGCTGCCCCCTGTCAACGCTGATCTCGGTGCCGGGAGGCCTCGCGGCTCCACTGATCCCGATGCTGGGAGGCATGTTACCCTTTTACTATATAGGATAGAGGCCTGGTGCACAGGTGGGGGCCGGCTGGTTTGCCCTGAAGGGTGTCCCGGATCAGGGTGGGAGTCCCCACTGGGGTGCCTGGCCAGTCTGGGTGAGGGGCTGAGGGCTGTTTTCAGGCTGGTGGGTGACTGAAGCTCCCAACCACTCCTTTTTTTCTTTTTTTTTTTTATTCTGGGCCAGCTTTAGCTCTGAGTCTTGGCTCCAGCTCTTAGGCCTCGGCTGCTGAAAGCAGGTATCTGGTTTGTTTGGGTTCTATAATCGAAACACTGTTTCAACTCCAGCTCTGAGATCCCGGCTGGCTGAAAGCAGGTTTCTGGGGTTTTGTTTAGGTTTTATATTTGTAAAAATGTTTCAAACTGCAAGCTCAGAGGCCGGCAGCGGCAGGCGGGGAACGTTAGCTTCCTCCGTCACTGAAGCAAGCAAGCCTCATGTTCGCCTCAAGCTGCCTGGCTGCTGGCCGCCATCTTGACTGGCAGTTAATTTGCATATCATCCTAATTAGCCAATGGGAAGGGTAGTGGTCGTATGCTAATTACCATGTTTCTCTTTTATTAGATAGGATTTTATGATTAATAACTAAAGGCATATGGGCTAACTATCTAGATTCACATAATCCAATCTATTTTCACCTTGGCTTCCCTGTTACTGCCTGAACATTTTAGCAGAAGTTTAACTCTTCATTATTTGCTGTGGTAAAAAACAGTTGGAGATGAATGTTTGAAACCACTGGTTAAAATTAGGGTTTCAGTAAATTACATTTGTTTACTACACTGTCTTCATCTCCTGCTAGCCCTGGTCATTGAGGGTTGACTAGTCATAATTGTCATATAACAAAACAGTACCTTGGTAATTGTGTATATCACTGTATATGATAATCTAGAGCAGGGGTGGGCAAACTTTTTGACTCAAGGGCCACAATGGGTTCCTAAACTGGACCGTAGGGCTGGAACAAAAGCATGGATGGAGTGTTTGTGTGAACTAATATAAATTCAAAGTAAACATCATTACATAAAAGAGTACGGTCTTTTTTTCCAATAGTTTTATTCATTTCAAACGGGCCGGATCCGGCCCGCGGGCCGTAGTTTGCCCACGGCTGGTCTAGAGTCTATTACCCCAGTGCTTTTTAAGTTTCTTTCTTTTCTTTTTTTTTTTAGCAGTAGAGTCTTCAAACATATAAAAGCAGGTAAAAGCAGCTGTGGGAGAGGTGTTCTTCCTCATCTCTGTCCCTTCCTCCCAAACCACATTCTTAACTGGGCTTCTTGGAATATAGTTTGAAAACCATTGTTATAGAATTATCTTAAGCTAAAGTGGGAATCATAATCATTTTAATAGGTAGAGAAGAAACTGAGTAATTGGTTTGAAGTTTTGAATGTAAATTTTGAATGCTAGTAGTGCTTATAGGGAGAATTATGGAGCCAGCTTAATTATATGGAAAAGAATCAGATCTGACATGGCTTTTTTTTTTTTTTAATATGTTTTTATTGATTTCAGAGAGAGGAAGGGATAGGGAGAGAGAGAAACATCAATGATGAAAAACATCAATCGGCTGCCTCCTGCACAGCTCCTACTGGGGATCAAGCCTGCACCCCAGGCATGTGCCCTGACTAGGAACTGAACTGTTCATGGTGGATGCTCAACCACTGAGCAACACCAGCCAGGCTGGCAATGGCTTTTTGTAGACAGCTATAGAGCTCTATTGTATTTGGTTTTGCTGTGTGTAGAAGTTTGTACCTGCTTTTCATGTGAAGAAAAAAAAAAAGACTGTCAAGCTAAGAACGACTCCTAAATTGTTTCCATCTATCACTAGCAGACTCTGGCAGAGATGCCTCTTTACTAAGGTAGTTTCCTAAGTGTCATTGAGTGTATCTTGCTGAACTTTGATTTTTACCACCTATGTAAAGGCAAACAGCGTAGTTCAGAATCAGGCTTAATTTAACCTGCCATGTTTTAAGTTTTTCAAAGGCAGCTCTCATCCAGCAGTTCAGGTAGTATCACCTCAGATCTGCCATTCCTCTACCTCTGACTGCTCCCCTCTTACTGCCTCTGCTGGTAGCTCTTTGGAGTGAGGTTGTTGGTCATTCAGTATGTGGTTTCCCTGGAATTCCTAAGCTCAGGGAGATGATAGCCTGCCTTGGAGTGAAGTAACTAACTGGGAGAGAATAACAGGGAGAATCAGTAAAGTGTCAACAATGCTAAGGCATGGAAATGAAGCCCTTTTGCCTAGCAGGGTTTATGTTGGAAAAGGAGTCAGCAAACAGTTATATTCCTGAGCAGTTTCTACCCATGATTTTTTTTTTTTTTAATATATTTTATTGATTTTTCACAGAGAGGAAGCGAGAGAGATAGAAAGTTAGAAACATCGATGAGAGAGTAACATCTATCAGCTGCCTCCTGCACATCTCCCACTGGGGATGTGCCCGCAACCCAGGCACATGCCCCCGACCGGAATCGAACCTGGGACCCTTCAGTCCGCAGGCCGATGCTCTATCCACTGAGCCAAACCGGTTTCGGCACTACCCGTGATTTTTATCTCAGCTTCAGATCCTAGGCATAAATAAGCCTCAAAGCAGGTTTTACTGAATGTTATTCAGATATTGCATAGATGGGGACACTTTTCCAATTGGATCGACTACCCGAATGTTAGGATCAGAATAAGGCAAACTATCTGGAATACGTGGGGAAACAACCTAGGTTCATACAATGTTAGTGTTAGGTTACTTGCTTACCTAGTATAATTCTTTGATTTTACAGATGAGGCTCTTAAAAACCTTATCCTATATACTTTCCTCTTCTGAATGCAGTTAACAGGAAGGAGAATATAGTATGAGAAGGTCAATTTAATGGCAAAATAGACTATAGTCTTTTCTCTTTAGTATGCCCTCAGAAATTGGCCAACTTAGATCAGCCATTACACGAAAAGTGGTTTGGATAGCTACTCAATCTAGCCTTGTGGCATTCATGTTCTAGAACAGTGATGGCGAACCTTTTGAGCTCGGCGTGTCAGCATTTTGAAAAACCCTAACTTAACTCTAGTGCCGTGTCACATATAGAAATTTTTTGATATTTGCAACCATAGTAAAACAAAGATTTATATTTTTGATATTTATTTTATATATTTAAATGCCATTTAACAAAAAAAAATCAACCAAAAAAATGAGTTCGCGTGTCACCTCTGACATGCGTGTCATAGGTTCGCCATCACTGTTCTAGAACCTCAAATACCTTGTTTTCTACTAATCCCCAGACCCAGAGAGGCAACAGAAGAAAAGTAA